GGTTCACGCCATTCTCCTGCCTCAGCCTCCCAAGTAGCTGGGACTACAGGCGCCCGCCACCATGCCCGGCTAATTTTTTGTATTTTTAGTAGAAACGGGTTTTCACCGGGTTAGCCAGGATGGTCTCGATCTTCTGACCTCGTGATCCACCCGTCTGGGCCTCCCAAAGTGCTGGGATTACAGGCTTGAGCCACCGCGCCCGGCCCGTGTTTTCTCTATTCTTACTCAACTCAGAATAGTCCTACTTCAGACATCTCCCCTAACTACTCTCAATTTCTTCCAGCAAAGGCCATACCTGAGCTTTTTTTTCTTCTGAGGTCTTAGCATCTGAACGTGTATCCATTCAAATAGAGAAACATGTTTACATCTGCAACATAACACCTCTTTTTGGCCTTTCTACAAGTAGGAATTTTCACAAGCTATCAGAAAGAGTCCCAATTCAACAGGTTCAAAGGTCCCTTAAGGGTGGATACATTATGCTTATATCCTTCTTTAGTTCATTCTCCAGTTTGCTCTATACTCTGTCGCAAATTATTTCCCTCAACACAGCTCTATGACCTGCTTCTCCCCCATTCTAAATGTCAATTACTCCCCAAAACCTATGAATGACCGAGCCTCAGCTCTTCTTGGCCCTCCAACTACCATTCTAGTTATATTCTCCATTAACCACATTTTACCCTACACTCCTGCCTTGGATAGGCTTTCGCAGTTGTAAGCCATGAATGCCTAACCCAAACAGCTTAAACAATACCAACAACAATAATATACCAGTATACTGGCTCATACAACTGAGAACATATCTGGGTGGGATTGGATCAGATGCAGCCCAGTCCTAAGGCTCAAAAATGTTCTTGGGCTCTGCTCTGTCTCCAGCTACTGCTATTGATTGTCCAGTTTAAGAAAGACTTTTCCTCCATTTCAGCAACAAAGGTAGACCTCTAAAAGCTCCAGACCTGTATCACTTCAGCTCAGTTTTTGTAGAGGAAAGAGAGAATGCTTTTTTTCCAGCCTCCCTATGTAAAGACCCAGAGACTCTGATCAGTCCAGCTTGGTATCTCATATCTAGCCCAGCCTAAGAGCATGAGGTTCTCAGACCAGCAGGACCAAAATTGCAACCAGAGAAAAGAATATGACAAAGCTTGCTGAAAGGAAATACCAGTCTACTACGGACAGTGGTACCCAAATTTCTAA